GAAGACCAAATGGCATGCGCAGGAATTCAAACAAACCAAAAGGAGCAATAATGGCTGTTTTCTCGATATCTTCTGCTGCCATAGGTATCTGGTTGTACGCTTTAACCAAATCGATTTTGGAGAAAATGTTCATTCTGCATAAGGTTGCAGCCAAATCGCAAGCGTGAGGTATCGGGTAGCAGTCTGGAGTTGTTTTGGCGTTAAGCCTTCGGTAATCACCGGTTGGACGCCAGTCGTTGCTATCCTTTTTGGGAACCATGTGCAGTGGCGATGCCCAAGGACTGTTTGACGGTGTGATCACATCCAGTTCGAGCATGCAGTCGAATTCATTTTTCGCCGTTTGCAGCTTATCAGGGCTAGACGGCGCGCTTTGGATGCCACAGGTAGATCTGTGGTTGTGACGTGATGCATAACATTGCTGGTTATGCACGGAAGAGTGTGTTTCGGTTGTTGCAACCCCGGATATTTCTCCAAAACTGCCTGGTAGGGCGCGTCGCCTGATTGTTTGGTTCTAACGAGGGCTAAACTCGGACCTACATGGGTGGTGCCGCCAATAGATAACTTTGTGTTGCTATCTGTCAGTTGTCGATGGCGAGGATCTATGGGTAGATCGTAATGGTTTAGAAAATCTATGCCTATGATAAACATAGCGATTCCAGCCAGGAGGAAAATCCAGTGGATGGGTTTACGTACACCTAATTTGAGGTGGGCATACTGTCTCCCAAGTGTCGCGATTGCCTTGCCGTTGGCTGCTTGAACATTGAAGGATGGGTCGTGATGCGCTGGTTTGTCGGTGCAGGAAGGACGCTAACTTCTGCGCCGGTGTCGACGAGGTAGCAGACTTTCATTTTAATGTCGGTGACGCAGGGAAACAGCTGCTTTCGCCAGCTACGGTTGCCATGAACACGTGCCGGCGTGACTGTTTCTCGAGTTTGTGTCCATGTTGAGACTGCATGGCTTCCGACATTTTCTGGCTTTGTCTCCGTTAGTGTTATGAAACCAACACCATTGAGGATTTTCCACCCTGTTGGGTTTAGTTTTAGGGAGACCACGTGAGTTGTTGCGATGCAATAAGACGCGTTTCTGTGGAGTTCTACGTGAACTACTACTTCGAGATCGTAGCAACCGTTTCACAGAGTTGCACAGCTTGGTCACCTCTGAACCCCGACTCTCTGGTTTGTCGCAGACAGAATATACGTTGGAGACGTGTCTGTCAGAAATCACCGGTATTTTATCTGCCGAGGCTGTCATGTAACCGAGTGGGACTGACTGGAGTGTCACCAACACGGTTTGCACCGGTTGTGGTAGTTTTGAGAGAAATAGTTCTCGGAAAAGACCGTCGTCGAATGTTCGTGTGCTGATTACTTTTCTCCTGCCTGCGAGGACTTCAGCAGCCGAGTGGCTGCCTAGCTCGATGTTATGAACTAATTCGTCTAGGCGCTAGCCATCTGTCAGATCGCTTTCTTCAAGAGTGCGGCCTTGAGAAGTGCATAAGGATCGCTTACTTCAGGACTAAACATATGTGCTGTGACATGCCTGTTTAATTCGCGCGGTAGTGAATGTACGACATCAAGAAATCGAGAATGAGGGCCCGAGACACCTTGTTCTCGAAAATCTGCCACGGCATACAGAAACCATGTTTCCGCATTGCCTAGCCAATATGTTTTATGATTTGTCCTGGTGCGAACTTGACAGACTCATTGACCAATCATTAATTATTCGAACTTTTTATATGTACCCGCTATTTTGTGACCAAGGATGAACACGATAGCGTAGTCGGATGGAATAGTGTATTTGGATGGTTATGCCAAAATACCGATGCTTTCCACTTTACTGGCTAGAGAGTCGAATACGAGCAGTGCAATATAACACCACAGCATGCCAAATGGCGAGGATGCTTGACCGGGTGCCTTCAGCTTAGCGAGTCCAGTTAAACTATCAAGGTCAGTATGAATGTCGAATGTCGTCCAACCCTAGGCTATTGATTTCGGGGAAGTGTGTGACGCTACATATGTTTCATGCAACAAAGTTTACAGGAGTACAAACCAGTTTACACGTTTGATCATTTTGGTAATGGTGATGATCCTGGAGGAGATTGGTTCCCACTGCATGCGAGAGAGCCTCTGATGCTCTTGGGGACATCATGATAGCCACCCAATAACTCAGTGTGCTCGCGTGTGTCGTCTGGTTAACAATATCGGAATAGATTCCTGACTCGGCAGTTGACAGTTTGGAGAGTCCATTTACATTCCACCCGCTTTCGAAGATTCCTAGCACTTCAGTACTGTACCTTCTCATCGCCTTCGTAATCTGGGCATTAGCGCTGCTAGGCTCAAACATAGTGCGCACACTCCATGTCCCCATGTTCAATTTCGCTTTCATCGCGAGAAGAGAGGATATTGCCCAATTGGCTTGCCAAAGGTTTTCACCAACTGTCGTCATTTCGTCTCCCTCATTCCAGGGAGGAATAAGTTTTTTTTATATTTTCTTTGTGCTTTGAAGTTTCTTTAGCGATTCAATTGGCTTGATGAGTTTCGTCAGCTAGACGTATGCCCAACCCTCCCTCTTTGTCTGGGCTTAGGACCGGCTAGTGACTAGTGAGCTAGTTAGCCAGGGGAGGTTATTTGAAATCTATGAAAAGCATATTTTGGTCAGCGGAAACGATGAACATGAATATGTTTTCGTATCAGTCGGTCATAAAGCCTCCATGCTCTCGCCTGCAAAAAAAGGCTCGATTCTGCCTCAAAATAAGCAACAATATTATTATCAGTTACATCTCTGCAGCGGAAGCACCTGGAAAGTCGAAAAACTGTGTTGCTACATAAAATATACTAGCGGCGTACTCAGAGAGCCGTCGACCTCACTAGCTCTTCACGATCCCACTACTGGTTTCCTCTTGTTTGATGCTAGGTGATGAGTAAATGTGAGGTGAAAATCCTACCGCGACATGATTCAAACCAGCTACCTCTGGTTGATCCGCTTTCCCCTTCGGCTGCCCCAAGGAACTATATATTTCATTTGCATCTAATTTTCAAGAATACCACACATGCCTCCTGGTCTTTATTCTGCATTATTTTCAGGCGAGCATGAAGGTATGGGTCTCTAGAGGGCTCTCAGACTATACGGAAACTCATAGCTCCCTAACTAAACTAATCTGCTAACTGCAAATACAAAGCGGCAAAATGCGCTCATCTTGCTAGGGCTTAAAGCAGGGAGGCAGAGGAGACCTCCACACTCAATACAGGGACAAAACCAAGTCAAAAGTACCAAATTCAAAAACTGCCAGTTTTGTATACTCGGTCAAGTGCTGTTATGAACTGTGGGTTGTTTAGACGGCAGAGTTCTGGACAAAAGTCAACAGGTATTGCTTAACCTGCATAGCATCATCTTATAGTTTATCACAAGGGTCCACTGCTGCTCTTTCCTCTTATGGCTGATATGTTGAGTTTCTGCTGTGCGATTCTGCTTTCCGCTGACGATGCCACGTCGGTGAGGGCTGCGGGGTTCGAAATAGAATCGAACACACTACAAGGGAACTCGAGATTGCTTGAAGGGTGGATGAATAATAACTGACTAGTGGTTAACCTGGATAGGTGCCGAATCAGGCTTCTCCGTACTCCGACTCGTGAGAAGTATTCTATTCTCCCTGTTGCGCACACCTTTCTCACACAACTACAGTAAAAGACCTGGCACTTATACTAACGTAGACACCAGTCACAGTTATCCAGGACACGCCTATGGTGCCTACGCAGCAATACACTTCATGAGCAAGCAAATAGGTACCTCCAATCCAGGACTCTTTCTGAAGCTCCACAGGACATACAGGGGACATCACTTAGAGATCCATAACGTCACTGAACCATAACCCAGAAAAGAGACGCGGACCTCCTGGAGAAGTTGCTGAAGTAAGCCTTGAAGTTTGTTGCAAGAAAGCGTTGAAAACCCCATGAGGATATGGTGAAGGGTATAGGCTTTTACTCTCTTGGCTACCAAAAGTTATATGGCGACTTGATAATGGCTTACGGAATATTAAGCAGTCTACGTCCCCAAACTGTGGAATTCCATTGAACTGGCACTGCTGCAACGCCATGGAAACCCGAAGGGAACGGCTCGTCAAGGAAAGAAAACCCGCGTGCGTTCGTAATTTTTCTCCTTCCAAGTTTGCAACAAATGGAGTACGTTATTCACTGGGATTCCAACTATTGGAAGCTTCAGGAAAAGTTTGAGCAGCTGCGCAGCGACACGTGGCATGCGCTCATCCAACTGGCATATGAATTGGGACAAAACAACCAGCTGATTCCGTAGCATTCGAAAAAATTTCATTTTCACAGTGAACCTTTTGTACTCCCGTGTTAGAAGTCTCACCTACTGTTACCATGCTCCCACAAATAACATTACTGTTTCTGCTCCTGCTATCCATTCTGAAACCTTACCTGCCCCTCATCCCCCGCACTCTATACAGCTCTTCCCCTTCTCCTCTTCCCTAAATCTACCTATGCAACTCCATCTCCTTTTGTTCAACTTCTCTTTGATCTAGATTTATCACTTCTTCCTGCTCATTTCCCGGGCAGATCTTTTCATTCTTCAACTCCCCTTTTTATAACCAGTCCAAATGACCGTCTGGTGATACGGCTTTTAAGAAACACATCTGCACCACAGTCCTAGGACAAAGCATACAACCCCTCTGCAAGTTTAATTGACACCCAACCACCGTTGAGTTTGCCAAAGTTGTGGTAGGTGAGTGGGTAGATATGCTGTATGTAATCAACCAAAGACTTGGAACCGTTCCGCAAGACCTAGAAGCTAATAAAAGATATCGAATTTTCGCGTTTTTCTGCAGCCAGCAACACCAGAACTCTATAATCCTTGTAGTAGGATCGTCTTCCGACACCACAAATTTAAAACATAAGAAACTGTCGCTTCATTGTTCTTGAAATACAAAGTTTGAGACATGGTTGGTTAACGTTTGTTTGTTTGCTCTTAACTTTCAAAACTTAGACGCCCTATGGGAGCGGGACCTCAGGATGTCAAGATGAACGGTGGTAATGATGTGTCTCCAGCTACGTCTGCTTCATTTTCCTGTAAGTCCAGTTTTTTATGACATTTTCAAGATATCCTATTCAGGATATTTCTATGGGCTGCAGTTTCCAATATTTCTGTACACATTGTAGCCCTTCTTGTTGCGTTTTACAATCTCAGGGCACATAAATCTGCAAGGATATGCGCCCCTATCTATATATTTGTTATGGGGGTTTTAAACACAATATCCTTCATACTAATTACAAGTAAATTTGACGTATGCTGATTTCCGCTTAGGTATAGTGGTTGCTGGTGTGTATAAGGCTACTGGCATCACATTCAACGAAATTCATGCTATTGCATCAGGTACTACTCAAACACTTTTGCTGTTCCTCTTCTCCGCTACACGCATTCCTTCTACGTTATAAATACAATTTGCATGCCCGAGTTCAAACAGCAGTGAGCTTTCAGCATAATCCAACATGCAGTATCGTGTTGTAGTTTTTTCTGTACCCAGATAGAAATAAATATATCTTGATATTTTTAATCTTTTTCATTCGGCCATACAATGTGTTCATGCCTTATTTACTACTGACCGTAAATTACGGAAGCAGATCATAAGGATGCTACTTTGTTCACAACCCCTTAAAAATACTGCGGTGGACACGGTTTCTAACCTTTTAGTCTGTACACAACTAAAAGCTTGTCTCTGTTTGGGCTACTACTCAAGACAGACCCATTCATAGTGGACCTTGTAAAGACAATTTGTTCTCACATTCATTCCTCTATAAATTAATTTCCCAACCTTTGTCTGGTCACTTAGTGTTATCAATCCAAACTTGTAACTTGAATTCAAGCCTATGCGGCAACAGGACTATTTTCCAGATGTTTAATAAAAATTTAATTGAAGAATCCTGTTGTCCCAGTTAGCTTGTGTTAAGCGAATAGAACAAGCTTGCAAGACTCAAGTTTAATGTCTGATATTGCAGTGACTGCAGTATCCGCTTTACCATCATTTATGATATAGTGACCAGTTTACATCTACTTTGTGCTTTTGGTGTACTTTACTACTTGTTTATGATATCAGTCTTCTGTCTGTTATAACTGAGGGTCATAGCACAGTGATTACTTGTACTTTACAGCAGCTTAGGATGGTGTGAAGACTGCGCAAGCTCCTAAACACTATCAAAGGGTGAAGTCGTCGTGCTGAAATAAGGGTAAGTCGAGCAAATGCAACTATAAATAACTAGTCCAAACTAAAAATAGCTGTGAGCCACACATGTACCGGGTACCTTGACATACACAGGTGGTTGAAGGAGAGGAGGTACAAATCCGCCCCAAGCCAAGCAGTAATACGCGTTTTCCGTGAAATCACAGCTTGATGGGTGATCGAGTTGTTACCTCTAAAGGACAAACGTATTATCACAACAGAAAAATGAGGGGGTTGAAATCTGAAGTAATACCCTGTGAGCACGATTTTATGAATTTCGCATATAAATCTCCATCTGAAATTATAGAAGGCTACTGAACAACGAGAATTAAAGGTTTTTCGTTTTGGTTCTCGGCTGCGTTTAAACCTTTCCTTAGGAACATGTGGCCGAATGCTAGGAATTATGGAGGCAGGTTTTAAGAATAATGGTATCCTCGCTCACACTTTGGAAGTGGCTGATCCCAGTAATGTAACGTTATACAGTATTGCCTGGTCTTACTTTGATCTTGTCTGTGCATGGTTGTGTAATGACGGCACTTTGTGGTCATCCGTCCATAGATGGTCATTGTTGTGGAGATTATTTACTGCTGACCAGAGGGTGACGTACTAGAGTAAAAGTAAGATGCTTAGTTGTCACCGACTTAAGTGATCTAAGACACTACAAACCATCAGAGAAATGGTCCAGTGGCAGGGTGAGAGAAGCCATTTGTTGTTATGTTTGTTCAGTATAGTTTAGTTTTACGTAGTTTCTTCAAGGGTGACGGAGTAAGCCAACATCGAGTCCAGAGCATCAGTACATTAACACCTTTGCTTTAGAACTCGGAACTGGTCAGAACTGACCAAAGAGAATGGAAATATCGAGAGTTTTGGGGATCAAATTAGTGTTATTAGTAATACTTGAAGAGTTAAATTTAATTCGTCTGCAATAATGCGATCGACCTTAATAAAGCACTCACTGTCCGCTCGCCCTTGGACCCCTTGGGGGAGGTCACTGTTTGACGTAGCACCATTAAATGAACTGTAGTTGTGTTGTGTCAGCATCCGTAGGTGCGATACAACTCCCTGAATGGACTCTGAGAGATCATGCAACTCGGAGGTTTGAGATAATAGTGTAGTGGGCGTTGCTGATAACAATGGATATAGGTAGTATATGTTGAGGTGGCAGCAATCGTAGGGAATAACCAGCAATGGGTAAAGTTTCTGCCAAGAGCAACGCAAGAGATAACGCAGGCGTATTACAGTGGATGCAAGCGACTGAGAACCAAAGTCAGTAGTGGTCATGCGGCGGGTATCTTGCTTTTTTCTGTTGCTGAAAAGCAAAACGAAATTAATAAGTGCTTCTTTGTATGTATTTTTGAGACTATTTCCCTGACAACTAACTTTTGTTCAAGTATCCGTTCTTTTTACATTATTCATGTTCTTTCAGTGTTACTATATTTTATAAGGTACATCCATTGTTGTCTATTTCGTACCAAGTTTGTGTTCGAAATAAATAAAGCATGTTTTTAGCTCCCGTGGTGATAAGCCCTTAATATTGTTCACTTTTAACTGTCATGTCTTAGTCGTGAAATAGGATAAGACGGATATGCTAACGCGTTGTGGTCATGTGGTTGTAGAAGTCGAAGTCTATTGTTCGCATCGAAACAACATATTGTTGCCATGTTTTCCATTATGAACACAAACAAGACCTTTCTAACACCGAAAAATACTATTTCCCGATCTAGGGATATAACTGTCTTCGTATGGATCTGTGGCTTATTGATTTAGGTAGTTCGATTTTATACCAATGGGTCTTGGGTTCGAACACGTCTACCTGAGGAGGTTTGGGAAATCAGTCAGTATCATTAGCCCTCGCACTGTAGGTGTGACCTATTGCCTACTACATGAACGTGCAAGAGGTTGCTGAATGAATCTCGATTCACTTTGAAATCTCGTAAAGCATTTGTCTGAGTCTAGCGAAAGTTTCTTGCTAGAAACTGGTATCGTCTTATCGTTCGTACGACCACTTTGACGGTTGATTATAGATCGCAAAATATGGTTCCATAAATTTACGACTGAATAATATGCATTATTTCCAGGTCTGAGAGTCTTATTTGCTTGTGATTGAGTCTATTCGAATAGCTTAATTCGTATGAAAAATCGGTCCCCCAATAACTAGACTGTTTGGATCGCTTTTATGGCTATTTTTGTTATTGTCATAAGAAATCCTACAAATTGCCATGGTCCACCGCCCTAGTGGCAAATAAATTCGTTAGTGTTCATCTTTTCTCCTGACAGATAAACTGTCTTGCATATCACAGCAAACCAAGGAGCTACATTGGCTGGGACGCTTGTTCCTTGAGGTCCTACCATGCCAGAAAGGTCTTTGGATTGTGGTAAGGAAAGGATCAGTCACCGTTGTAGTGTTAATTGCTACACTGTGTTGGGTCCGAAAGAGAAGTAGTACTACTGGTTGTACGGCGTTTGACAGCAGCGAGGTGCTTCCCTAGGATGACTAGTAGCACCATGTTGATGTTATCTTCTCTATAGGCAAAGAAGTAAAGACCGGCCATAAAAGTACACTCCTCTCTGTCTTGCGGTATTTGGGTGCTGGCTATATGGGTCCTTTTTATCGAGGACTAGCTATCTGTTTGTTGTCAGACTGAACGAATCTGTTAGAAATAGGAAAGATAATGAAACTTGTCGATGCCTATTCATAATTTCCGAATACGCACCCATCGGCAACAAGAAGACTATGGCTAGTTAAACCATCACCCAGAAGGTTAGTGTCCTGATCACCTCCCAGGACAGGTGGCTAGAACGTTAAGCAAAACCGAAGAACACTTCAACTGGTCCTCAGCAACGCTTGAGTTGCCCAACATTCAGCCTCAACGTGAATAGGACGTAAATGTTGGTCCTCCAAATCTCCTTGAAGTTGAGAGATTTGTACGGAACCTGAAAGGATGCAAAGCAGCAGGACCTGACAGTTTGTCACCCGAATATCTCAAGGATGGAGGTAGGAAATTTCTAATTGAAGCGACGGAGTAACTAGACAATGCACTGTGTGGGAATCATAGGTAGTATCGACTAACTGGTGTACTTCACTGACCATCCGAGTTTATAAGAAGGTGGAGAGGTCTTCTTGTGTCAACCATGGAGGAGTTAGTTTGACTAATATTGTGTCCAAGATCGTAGGATTCATAGTTATCGGATGCCTAACTGGAGCTCGAGAACAGTAAACCTGAGAAAACCAGTCAGGTTTCAGACGTGGTCTGGGAGTCGATAGGAATCAGTGGTTGAGGACTCTTGGTGAAATGGTTGAAAATCGATCACAAGGGTGCAGATGTATTCACTCCTTAATATCTAAAGCTGTAATATCTGCACCAACCTTCATCTTCAGATTTTATTCTCTCACACAACTCTATCTACTTTGATATCAGTCTTTTTCTATCCACCTGTTCTTTGTATACTACTGTGAATTGTGGCAACATGAGGAAATGCGCTTCTATGCGTGGTTCTATGTTGTCATGTGAATTGACGACTTGTAATGGTTTTTCTCATCGATGTCTGCCGTCGCCATTCATGTTTTTCACGTGTCAAATTTATGATGGTTTTGCAGGACTGGTATATAGGCACTCCCAGTTCAAGAAAAGAGAATTCAATGGTATTAGAATGACCTGACCAACTCCCTTGCAGAGTTGTATCAGTTAAGATGAGCTGGTTGCTGACGAAATATCAGCTGGGATACAAAATGCCTGTTTGGCATTTGCCAACTTGCATCGTCTCTGGCAGCGACTGGTGAGGTATCATACTGCGTATTAAACGACGAGTATGCTGCACATCTTTTCATACTATCCTGTTATACTTTTGTAGGACGTAGATGCAATAAGTAAACAATATGAAGGGACAACAAGTTTCTGACCATAAGCGTTTTCGTAGCACTACTCACTGTGTTAGCATTGTGAAGGCCAGGCTATAGATGCTAGTCAACGAAGGAGAATCGTTGGATGAGGTTGTAAACCTTCAGCGACTGAGGTCATATGGTCATACATTGCCCGTACTGAGCCACCGTCTATCTAGACGTGCAATATTAGCAGAAGTAGGATTGAGTTGGGCGGACCAAGGTGTGACATCTATTCAGTCCGGTTAGGCGAAGAAGCTGCATCAAATGAACACCATGTGCCGAAATTGGAGTATGTTTGCATACGTTTCGTAACTGTCAAATGTGAGATTGTTTCACGACTGGACCGCACTAACCCCTAGTTTGAGTTTCGAAAGGGAGATTGTGCAATACATTGATTGCTTTTCTTGAGGGTTTGTATCAACCATAATAAGCGAATTGCCGACGAGATATTGATTCAGACTTAAAACTCTATTTCGGTATTGTCGACTTTTCAGTCCGTGGTGCGGTGAGAGATATCTGACTACCTATCGAGGGAAGAGCATGCTAACCAGCGATTCACTCCGTTCTATTATACAACTGTGTGATATTGCCATTGAAAATGGGATGCAGTGGTGTGATGGAAACACCATGTGAGCAATACTGCGATTAGGCGTAGAGTACTAATCAAGAAAGACGATTCAGTGAATGAGATTGTGAATTTTCACTGATCAAGGTATTTTGAATGTGTTATGTGCATGCTTTGTTCGATATCTGATGTTAGCCGAAGTACAGTCTGGCTGGTAGAAGGTGGGCATGAGTTCATATAGTTTTTGACTGCTGTTTAATTCATGTAGACCGCTTGAGTACCGTCTTCAGAATGATAGAAATCAACGGTTTGAGATTACTAGTAATATAGCCCAAAATCAGTCACAATAGTTTAGATATATGCATCCTTTGTCATTGTCGAAATTCTGAATATTTTCACTAAAGTACTATTAGCTATTCTCTTTCTTATGCACCTTTCTCTACTTTAATGCCATTCTTTCTGTCTATTTCACCTCTACATGCTGCCGTGGAGTAACATGAATTAATTCACTTCTGTGTCGGTGTTTTACAGTTATTTGTTTGTTTACCTTCGCTGTTCTACGTTCCTAGTCGGTTGTGTAATGATGAAACAATTCCTTTTCACTAGATATTAACGTTTTCATTAATGTGTTATTTTCGTTGCTTTGGAGTAAATCTAATCACTTATGTGTTATTTTTATGTTGTTATTATCGCATACACGAATCCCACTATGCGACGTTTTTTCTTATAGGTTTCGGTAAATTTTTTTCCCAGTTATGAAGATTTTACATACAGAATGCAACTACAGTTATACCAGTGATTCAGAAAAATCATCAATGATCTCCGCAGTTAGTTATCAGCGTTTATTTGTTGGCCTACGTCGACCATCTTACCTACGATCCAGTTATCATCGGATTGTACGTTGATTTATGAAGAGTTGTTTTTTTTTGTTACATTTGAAATGTTTTCTAGGTTAAAAGACTGAAGATTTTAAGTGAATTCGATACCGGTCAAATAATAACTAAGAAGTAGGAAGAAATGAATAAAGATTTTCGCTTGTATTATAACATCTCAAGAGTACTCGTGATGGATGAAGGAAGCAACATTGGATCCTGATTACCAATACTTAAGTCTTTAACATCACTGTTGCGCATTTTACTCGTTGTAAGGGCTTGAGAGTCAATAGGATAAAGCTCTGCTCCATCTAGGTTTCTAGTTTTCTTTTGTTAGTGAAGTGACCGAGTGGAAGTGATTGAGTAGACAATAATAAATACGCAAAACAGTACTAGCGCAATGAGATACGTAGACTGGATACCAGTAGCGACTATTCTCCCTCAGAATTGATACTTCACTGAGTCGCGAAAATCAAAAGAAAAAAACTGATCTATAACTGTCAGGAAGACAACTTTATTTGACAAAAGACGTCGTTTACATACAGTTTACCCTCAGAAAATAAAGCCTCTAGATCACAAGTTGGATACTCATTTTTATTGGCCAACTGAAGGGAAAAATTGTTCACTAAAGTTTTTCTGCCCACAAAATAACATAAAACCGAGGTGGAACTCGTGCTCAAAGCCTTCTAACCCTTGTTTCTAAGCCTATAGCACATTCAAACTTGTCGTAAAACCACAATGAATAGTACATTTGGCTAACCACGTGCAAATCCAGCGTCGCCTTTAAAAACTCATGTAGCGTCTATATAGTTTCACTAATATTCATTGTTGTCATTGCTCACCTATAGTCCAGTCTAACTTGATTTACTCAATGGGCCACTAGAAATTCGGAAATTTTTGATTCACAGCTTCGCTACATCATTGCATACCCTAGGTTTATTGCCATACATGATAGGTGATGTCTTTATGTAAGCACTCCTGAAACAATAAGAACATATCATGTATTTTCTTGTGTCTTCACTTGCCAGTGGCTAGCAGTAGGATTCAGGTTGCACGTTTTGCCCTACTTAGGACTCGTCATCTAAATGTAATTGGATCCCAGCGAGTGGTAGTATTCCCACTGAGACTCGAACCTGGCACATGTAGCTTCAGACGCTGGACTCGTTATCCACTGGCCTACTGTGTTATCAAAGCCATTTCGTGCAACGAGTATCTTTCGCTATGTGTTGATCCTTGTCATTTCCTGTCAACTATTTTGATGAACCCATGTGATCGGTCTGTGTCGGCAGATGAGCTTCTTCACCGGATGTGTCGATGTCACGTTTCATTTCGGTGTTATTTGCTTTGTGATGGCTAGCAGTCTCATTGAAAACACCACCACTCACTGGAATGCAGGTATATCTTAAGTGGGACGGAACGTGTATACTAGATTCCGTTGCTGGCCGCCACCGAGCGAATCGTGTCAAAATGAAGCAGTATCGAAGCCTCCGTTCAAGAGACCCATACGTCAAAGGAGACCGTTCACTTTGGTCTCATACAACAGTCAACCGAAAGTAACGAGCATCAATAAACGTTCTTGTCGAATTAATATTTCCACACTGCATTGTCTATCAATCGTTTTTGGGTTTCATAATACATGACCGTTATCATCTGTTCACTTAGTTGTAAAGCATTGCATATGTTATAAAGATGTTTGATAGTTATTTAGCGTATGATTTTCTCTCCGTTTTTTTCTTTTAAAAAAAACCCATCATCCTTCCAGTTGCGTACTATTTTGTATCTGTGCCTATGTTTAACACTAGTATCACTTATTTGGCTCACCTTCTACATCTCCGATTCTTCATGGATCAGTAGGATATTACATCGTCATAATCATGGTAATCAATTTACAGGTCATATATCAGTGTCTCCATATCCCCGGGATAATACACTTACTGTACATAATAAAGATAATAATAATAATGCCATTTCATCAGTGTCAACAATAACAACAGAAAATTATAAATATGGTGTTGTGTTCGATGCTGGGAGTACTGGCAGTCGTGTTCATATATTCAAATTACACTATAATCCTTTCGGTATGTTCAAACTTTAAAAAAAATTTTCTTCATATTATATCATTGTCCTCAAAATATTCTGTTTGTGTAAGTTGGAATTCATCGTTTGGTATCCGTTCATATTCCTGACTAGGTTGACTGACCCCTCACGTTACCGGTTATCAGAACTGTGAGAAATGTATATTGAAGCTAATCAATGATAAATACTGGATTGTTGTTCAGTTAGGTGGCTTGTGAGAAGCTGTCATATTTGGATTTGACAAACTATACTGAAGATTGATATGATGACTTGTTAGCTGACATTTTAGACTGGTGTGTATTGAACTGACCTGCTAATACTGACATATTAAGTTCCTTTACGAATGTTTCGATATGGTCAGTAATTTCATTTTAATATTAAGGGTAAACAGTGGGTAACAGTGCATTGTAAGCTATGGATTTCATCCTATTTAGGACTCAGCTGAATGTATTTGTCCCTCAGTGGAGCTGTGGCGCCACTGTTTAGGTCAATGACTATCAGCTGGAACCCCGCTCCACCTACCGAGGTTTGGGCATCCAGGTAGTATCACTCGCCCTCATACAATAGGTGTGGCTCATTGCCTACTGCGCGGATGTGCACAAGATGACTGAGTTCCTTTATTATTATTATTATTATTTTATCTGATCCTCACTAGACTTTGTTTTCCCCACTGGGGCTCCAGCCTTGTACTGAATGGTCCTAACGCCAGAACGTTATCCACTAAACTACTGAGTTGCAATGACCACTTCCTATGTAACGGGTGTAGCTTCCTTGTGCAAGCAATAGTAAGTCTAGGCGGAGCGTACTAGGCAAGAAAGATTATGAACTTTCACCGACTGAAGCAACTTGGACATGTGTTGCGCGTGCCTAGCCACCGCCTACCTTAATATGCAGTTCCAAAGTAGGGTTGGGTCGGAAGAAGGCTCAGGGTGGACAGACCAGCAATTGAGGCCACTTCATAGAATCTCTGACTGTTAATCTGAGAGCTATGGACTACCTGGTTGGAGTCCTCGAGACAATAGGAATTAGTGTTTGGTGACTCGATGACAGCTGAAAACTGGTCACTACGTTACAACATGTATTCACACTTTGACATCTAAAGATTTCCTTCATTTTCAAATTCCGTTTTCTTCGCTCACATCTTTGTCTACTTTGGTATTACTCTTTTTCTATCCCCTTGTTCTCAGAAGTTTAGCAGCTTGAAGCTGGACTTTTTTACTAGGTTCTGCACTCATTCATCTGTCGGTCATATTTTGGTATTATGAATTATTACGTATTGATTGGCTTCGAATGAATTGGTCTACCACTGATGGTGTATAGATTAGTTTTTGGATGCCTCGATGTAACCGGCAGTCTCATTCAAATATTAAAATAAAAAAAAACATGTGCGCTTGATTTCGCTACTAGCCACTATTCATCCTTAGTATTGATTTGTTGAAGATTGTTTAAAAGAAGCTGAAAAAAGCTTATAAAAGCAGAAGCAGCGAATATTCATTTGGATGTATTCTTCACTGTTTCGTTATTAACTCATTTCCTGTCAGTGTTTCTCTTTTTTCACTCTTTGTATCACGCCTCTTTCTTCTTACTGTTACTGTGTGATTTTGTACAACGCAGTGTCAAGTCTCCGTTTGAAATAAAGTACATGCACACAAATTTCTTTCTTATTTACCGTCAGTTTGGTAAGTCGAAAAATTTGTCCAATTCCTTCTTGCTTTTTCTTATTTTTGGCTCACTATTGGCTTGGCGAAGTCCGGATTCGAATACACAGGGTTCTCAATTTCATTCTTGCATATCCATCCGAGTACAGCATATTGTACCACATCAGAGGGTTAAACTTGAATTCTACAAAACAGTTTATAACAATATTAACACTAGTTAGTTTGCATAGATGAAAACATGATTTACTTTAATCTAGAGCTAATCAGTACGCTTTGTACACTTGTTCACTTCTAAACGTTCAGTGTAAATATTTCTGTCATCTTTGTTCATCAGTATAACTGTTTTGTTCTACGTGTAGATCACTTTACACCGTTTAAATTGTTGGATGATATATATCATCAAGTCAAGCCTGGATTATCTGCTTATTCTGAGAAACCTGAGGATGCAGCCAACAGTATATCAAAGTTGATTCATATTGCTGAAACTAGTCTTCCCACTAGTCTTTGTCACAATACTCCAGTTATACTCAGAGCTACAGCTGGTCTACGATTACTGTCTACTATAAAAGCAGAGAATATATTGAAAGCTGTATGTTTCCAATGTGTTACCGTTTTGTTTATGCCAAGGTCTGTTGATTCATATGCAATTTTAGTTCGTTATGAAAATCTAGGAGTAAATAACCACATGAGTTTGCTTGTACGTGTTTAATCGACAGATGGTTGTTGAGGCCGTGAACTCATGTCATTGTTGAGGCGTTTCTCGGCCTCGTGGTATCAGTTTTGAATCCTCTTACACATACTTCTGGTGTGATTACGGAGATTTTCCTCTCCGCATCTGGCTCTGTCACAGAAGACTCCTTATTAGATGTAATGCATACAAATGAACTAGTTTGACTAACATCGTGTCGAAGATCTTTGGGTCGATAGTTATCGACGCCTAACTGAAGCTCGAGAACAGCAAACGCGCAAAAGCCAGTCAGATTTAAGATCTGGACGAGGGTGGATTGATCATATCTTCAGCATTTCCCAGGTCCTAGAAGAAAGACACCGGTGGTGGATACTCGCTGTATTCCTTAACCTAAAGGCGGCACTTAACTCTGTCCACTGGGGGATGTGGCAATATTTAACTGTGAAGGGAGTACCGAGCAAGTAATAACGCTAACCAAAGTCACGCAGTCGTTTAGGAGCATATAGAGAGTCGTCATGTGGATTGACGGCCACTAGTAGTGTTCTTCATGGATACCTGCCATCACCGTTCATGTTTAACTTGGTCATAAAAGGGGTGATTTGCAGAAACCCAGGTATTTCCAACTCTCCCTACTATTGGGTGCTTGATTGTCTTGGGATACAAAGACGACATTCCCCTATTAGGTGAAGATGCTGAACGTTTTGTGCAGAAATCTGAGGTTTTTTGGTTGTTATTCTTTTCGCAACTTTGAAATGTAGGGTGATCCTTGAAGACTGGTCTTCAACTGGCAGTTTGAGTATCGAAAGTGAAGTAGTTGAATGCGTTGACCACTTCATTTCAGGAGTGGTATCAACCGGAAGGGTCCTGATGCTAACGAAATCTTAGCTCGGATACAAAAGGCCCATTTGACATTTACCGACGCACAGTATCTGTGACGCTGACTGAGGAGATATCCGACTACTTATTATATGATGAGTATAGTGCGCTACACGTCATTCTGTCCTGTTATACGGTTGTGAGACAGTCGTTGGAAGTAAGTGCGAAGAGATTACATGGTTTTGAGCACAGGTGTTTGTTGGATTGCTTATGTGAGCGATGTCGTGGTTAGGTGAGGGATGCTAGGAAAGACCGGCACACAACCAACGAAGTTGTGAACCTTGGCCGACTGTGATAACTTGGGCGTGTATTGTGCTTGCTGAGCCACCGTCTTAGACGTTCTGTGCTATACCAAGTAGGTTTAGGCTTGTAGGAGGTCGAAGGTTTTCAAACTTAAACAGGGAATTAGTCGTTGAAGTCTTTGACGTTTAGTTAGATATATACCTACGGGTTGGAGCCCGCTTGACAACGGAAATCGCTGGTTTCAGACTGGACGATATGGCTCCTAAACTAAATCGACTGCTCAGATGCATATTCATGGAGACGAGGATTGCGCATTTTATTCATTGTCTCTGTGGGAAAAATGAGTTGACTTCATATTTTCACTTGATATTCTACAGTTAGAAATAATCATTAGTAAATTTTGAATCCAGGTATCGTGTTGGGAAACATTAGGTATCATGATAATTTTAGCATCTCGAGGAAAGATGATACGACACTAATTGGCACCTTAAAAACTGTATGCTACTTGTTGGACAAGTGCTAAACCTAGACGTATCACTTCACATCAATTCTTCCAGCCTTTCAGCACCACATAACCGCTAGTATTTAATTGTCGGGTTTTGGATGTGGTGATTCAATGATTAAGTGTATCATGAATTTAGAGGTGAACCTCATCAATTTCTATTTTACAATTGATTACATTTGTTGGCACCAATTGTTGCCTTGCCTTTGATAAAGGTGGGGACATTGTGAGGTAGCATTCGTGAGTCACTGTTTATAAACATGTGTTTGCGTTGACATACCTGTATGCACCAGTCTATGTCTAACTAACTTATATAAGGGATGCAAGTGTGTCCGAGTTTATACCATTACCTGCAAAAGAAAAAAAATTATGGAGGATAAGAGTGAACGAGTTGCCATTTGCAAGTTTCTAAACTTCAGAAGATATAGTTGTTCAAAAAATATTCAAATCTGTCATTGGCAATAGTTTTAAACCGTATTACTATCTGTTTCACTTTAACAGTCTTACTATCTCAATAGTTATTTCATGATAGCCCTCAAGGTATTGTGGTTTTTTTGCTCAGGCTAAAATATTACCGTTAAATTTAAAATGATAGTTGCTAGACTCAAACCAAAGTGACGTGGGAAACCGCAAAATTCTAGAACGAAAAATTAAAGTTATTATCTAGACATTACTATTAATAAAAATTATAGCCAAAATCGTAATGAATATTACAACCTTCAACCATAGTGGTCCTGTGCGAGGGGGGGGAGTGTCACCGAATGAATCACAAAGAACCAGCTAGAAGCAGCTAAACAACCTTGTAATAACGTACAGTCAAAACTAAGAGTTGACTACCCAAACAAGCAAACTACCCAATGGACCGAGACTAGTCCACACAGACAACCGGTCGGCGGGATATAAACCACCGTCAAAACGAAGGCCACACGTAAAAAAGGATGTTAGAAGAACACAAGTGAATGAGATTGTTAAATGCAGAGAATTTTAAAACAATTAGTTCCCCATCATAAACTTCGACAAAACAACAAGACTTAAGTTTTCGGAACCTGACTGAGCAAGCACATCTATATTGAAGATACATCGATGATATCCTAATTATTTGTGACAGTTCAAATCAGTCAACTCCAATTGTAAACCGACTAGACGAAGAGCAGAGCAACATATCCTAAGAATGCGTAGAAGAGGACGATGACTCCTTGCCTTTCTTCGAGATATTAATTTTTCAGCGGCAGGATAGATCCATAAAACCATCTGTCTTCAGAAAACCTACATTCCAGTAGGCTCTTACAAAGATGAAGAGCTAAAGCAACTTAAATATAAGTTGACCAACAGTCTTCGCATTGATCGCAGGCAGTAATGGGTGACGAAAGCAAGAGAGATGGAAAACGCATTAGCGTTGGATAAAAATTGGTAACTATTTAGGCTTACTAAGATACCGGCAACAAGAAGACTATGGCTAGTTAAACCATCACCCAGAAGGTTAGTGTCCTGATCACCTCCCAGGACAGGTGGCTAGAACGTTAAGCAAAACCGAAGAACACTTCAACTGGTCCTCAGCAACGCTTGAGTTGCCCAACATTCAGCCTCAACGTGAATAGGACGTAAATGTTGGTCCTCCAAATCTCCTGAAGTTGAGAGATTTGTACGGAACCTGAAAGGATGCAAAGCAGCAGGACCTGACAGTTTGTCACCCGAATATCTCAAGGATGGAGGTAGGAAATTTCTAATTGAAGCGACGGAGTAACTAGACAATGCACTGTGTGGGAATCATAGGTAGTATCGACTAACTGGTGTACTTCACTGACCATCCGAGTTATAAGAAGGTGGAGAGGTCTTCTTGTGTCAACCATGGAGGAGTTAGTTTGACTAATATTGTGTCCAAGATCGTAGGATTCATAGTTATCGGATGCCTAACTGGAGCTCGAGAGCAGTAAACCTGAGAAAATCAGTCAGATTTCTGTTAGGTATGCCTAATACTAGGAAAACCAACTTATATTATGTTTATATTTATCATTGTAAAACTTAAACCTTATTTTCTCGTCCCTTTTGCGCCATACAATGTTACTTATTTTTTACGGCAGTTTAGGATACTAAGCGCTGATTAGTTCATCTTACACTTATAATATGCTGTTTTTTTCTCTGACCGAGGCCATCTAAAGGTTTCAACCATGATTATTCGGCTAGAGCAAATATACTTTCAATCCCATCGTCTTCTTCTGGTGTCAGCTGAATATCGAGTTGAGAAATCATTGTTCTATCGTTAATCGTATCGCGTCGAAGCATTGTATCGTTATTTATACCATAGATCATAACAGTTTCAGACCAGGGTGAGGGTGCATCGATCATATTTTCACCCTTATACAGATTCTGGAACACAGGTTACTGACCTACCTGCCAGTGGTCGACACTTGCCATGTTTTTGACCTGAAGGTGGCATTCGACTCTGAAGGTGTTGTAGCAGTATCTGGCTGAGAAGACAGTACCGATCCAGTATATTAACGCTAATCAAAGTTCTCCACTCGAGCCCGCGCAGCCATGCTAGGGATTATGGAGAGTTTTAATGTGAACTGATGACAACTAGTGATGTTCGTCAGGGTGGTTCACTGTCACCGTTACTATTCACCTTCATCATAATCGTACTAATGGACACAACCTAAGTCTGACTTCACAGAGAGGTTAACCTACTTCCTGAAGGTCATCCGGTTGGCTTGAATTGTGCAGATGGCATTGTCTTGCTAGGTGAAGATGCTGACGGAATGCAGGCAGGGTATTTCGGACGAGTTGAGCAGAAACCTGAGCGTATTTGACCTGCCTTCATTTCGCACCTGTCAAATGTAAGATGATGTTCCATAACTGTTCTGCTTAGGTACTCTCTGTTGAGTGGTAGGGTATGAAGTGATGAAATGTGTCGACCACTCCACTTGAGAAGTTGTAGTAGCCGAATGAGCATGTTGCTGACAAAATCTCAACTGGGATATAGGTTATTTGGCGTTTTCCAACCTGCGTCATCTATGTCGCTGACGGGAGAGATATCCAACCACCTGTCAAAATGCAAGTATACCGTGCTGCAGTCCGTTCTGTCCTGTTGCACAGCTGTGAGACATGTGCGATAAAAGTAGAAAACATGAAGTATTTACAGGTTTTTGGTCGCAGATGTCTTCGTAGCACTGCTCGCGTTTGGTGGGATAACTACGTGAACAATGTTGATGTTAGGCGAAGGGTACTAGGCAAGACATGCATGTCGATTGATGAGGTTGTGGATCTTCATCGACTGAGGTGGCTTGGACATGTACTGCGCATGCCAAGCCACGGTCACCTACTGCGATGAAGTCTCTGACTGCTTATCTTAGTCATCTGGGGAGGTGTAGACTACCTAGTTGTATTCATGAAGACGAAATGAGTCAGTTGTTGAGGTCTTTGGTGATATGGTTAAATATAGATCACAATGGCGTAGATGTGTTCACTCCTTAACATCTAAAGCTTGAATATCTGCACCAACCTTCATCTTCAGATTGTTTATTCTCTCACACAACTCTATCTACTTTGATATCAGTCTTTTTCTATCCACCTGTTTTTTCTGTACTATTGTGAAGTGTGGTAATTTGAGCCGATGCACCTGAGTGCGAGGCGCTACGTTTGTTTTTATCAGCCTGTCTGTTGAAGTGCTCACGTTGGTTAACTTAATCCAGTTTGAAATTTCGAAGTATAGAGTGTTGGATCACAGCTGAGATGTGGATTTCAGTCATTTTAGTCATTGGATAAACTTAAGGAATATGTAATGTGGGAAATTTTCTAGCCAACTATATTGTATTTCTTAGTTTTCCATTCTAAACCTCACATTTAGTATGTTCCGCAGGTATGCAATCATTTACATAGCTGTGGATTTGATAAAAGATCAGCTGCTTAACTGTGGCAGTCTGTTGAGTTATTTTCATGTGGTATACCAACCTATACACGCGATTTTCAAGCAGTAATTAAGATGTAGGAGTAAAACTTAAGCAGTGTGGTAAAATTGTAATTCCATTTCTAATAAACAGACTAAATTGGGAGTAATTGAGGTCTTTGTGTTCAACTCCACCTACCGAAGTTTCGTCGACTAGGCAGCATCTTGAACCCGCCATAAAATGTGTTACTGGTTGCTTTTTACGTGAACTTGTATAAGTTATTTTCGCTTACTTTAACAGTACGATTATCTAGGTTGGTGTGTCTAAGTTACAGATATGTTTAGCCGGCGGGATGGGGAAGTGGCGGATACTGGTTTTTGAAGTAAATTTAATTTATTCTAGTCTCGGCCGGAACAACAACACTTACTGGGGTGCAGGTGCATCCAGCTAATGAGTCCCAAATGGGACGGAACACGCTTCCTGGATTCTTCTGCTAGCCACAAAAATGTAAATTACCATAATTAACATTCAACCAATATCGAGGCATCCGCATAGGGACCCATATGCCAATAGAGGTCAAACAATTCGATCCAGTAAAACAACGGAGAATTACAAGCATACGCATAAATAGTAGTATACTTAATTTTCTTAAATAAAACTTTGTGTTTATGCGTTCTTCTCTATTCAGGTACGTAATAGGCTGTCTCAAACATGTTTTAAGCAATTACCAAATGCTGTAACTATTATGGATGGATTTTATGAGGGTCTCTACCTGTGGTTAACATTGAACTTTCTCAATGATCGGTTATCTCGACAAAAGCTTGGATCAGGTAAACAAGCAAATTCTTTTACGCAAACAATTGGTACACTGGACTTAGGTGGAGGTTCAACTCAAATCACATTCATCCCCACTGAGTTAGATACTTTCATAAATTCACCCAGTGGTTTTATCACCAACTTTGATCCTACTGGACATAATAGCAATGATTCTCAACAAAAGGTAAGGCTTTCTATGTAAAAGTATCTCTTCTTGTGTATGCATGACGGTATGGTTCTTGGGTATTGCTACTACTTTGTTATAAGTTATCGAGCTGTGTGGTGAATTGCATTGGTCTAGTTAACCGGACAGTATCGTTAGCCGTTGTCACAGTTGCAAGTCACAGCCCTGTGTATAACTCTGTTGATTTTAATATCTTACTCTGAAGCAAATGGGTTGTCATTTCAAAACCCACCCCAGCTACTTCAATGTGAGCGACTGGGCAGCATTACAAACCTTCGCATGATAGGTGTAGCTTAAAGCCTGGTAACTAAGCCTCCGCATCTCGGTAATTTGTATAATTTTTTCGGTGTTGTTGTTCTTTGAGTTGGGTGATGTGATTAATTGATACTGGGTGATGATTGAAGGTGAAATAAAAATCTGCTCAGCAGCCGGGCCTCGTAACTCAGTTGGTAGGGCACCCGGCAGGAAACCCGGCTGTCGCTGGTTGGACAAGAAAAAAAAGCAAAGAAATGAAGGTACTGATATCAGTATTAATGAAGTAAACTAAAAGTCAAAAGGTGAAAAAAACGCAATAATGTTTTATGAATTTCAAAGTTTGGATTAGAATAAGACATAAAGCCACCTGTACAACCATCGTGATGGATTGTGAATTGTATCGGACCCCTGGGATCGTTTCCGAAAAGTAGATTTCGTAGATCAACGATGCTATGACTTATTGGCTTATCAGTACAACTTTCAAGCCACACGTCTTAGGTCGGTAACTAAATCCATCTATTGCGATCTGGGCAACTGAATAATATCATATGTCATTATGCACAACAATTATGATTCATAACCGAGTATACTCACACCTGTACCGGGTAGATCAGTTGTGTTACTGTAATAATCATTTAAGTTATGGTACAGTAGTTTGGTCTACTGATAGTACACTAACGTGAATCAGCTTAGTTTCTCATGCGTTTTAAGAAAACACTGGTAATCACATTTTATTCATATTAGATTTTTTTGTTGGCGTTTCCCAGTATCTGACTTGCTATATGATAAGTTAACTTTCCTGCGGCCAAACAAAACAGATTTCTTTTCTTTTACTATTAATTGAGAAATAGAAATACCAAAATAATGAAGTTTTATTCTTTTAGTTGACTGTTGTGTTCTCCTCTCTTAATTGGCTTTCTTCTATGAATAGATCTATTCCCATAGTTACTTAGGATTGGGATTAATGTCTGCGCGTTATTCAGTGCTGCATAATGCAACTGGTTATATGAACTCAAAATTTTTTACCAAAGGGAAAAAGCAATTTTTCTATCCATGTTGGCCAATTAATTTGACTGTAAGTTGAATTCGTACTTGTGCTTTCATATCAGAGATTTTTATTATTCTTGTTAATGTAATAGTCTACGTTCTGAACTGAATTTGTCAGTGGTAGACGTTACTGTCGTCAACACAAACGCATACTAGTGCTTATTTACATGTTTTTTCGCTGGTATGCGCAGTGATTTTAAAAATGCATTTTACTCAAAACTGTTTTAAAGTACCAACATGAACTAGTGTACTGCAAGGGACGACACTATATGTTCCATATTAGATTTGTTTATTTGATATAAAGCGCACAGTGATACAGTATTATTTACTTGATTACGTTTCGAGCATAAATTATTGCTCATAATCATAGCAATGAGCAATAATTTATGCTCGAAACGTAATCAAGTAAATAATACTGTATCACTGTGCGCTTTATATCAAATAAACAAATCTAATATGGAACTACATTCTACCACAGTGCCCAAGTTTTTCACTTATATTAACGACACTATATGACTTGTATGTTAGGAAATTAAGCACAATTTGTATCAAAGCCTGGAGAAATCTAATTAATCTCAGTTAGTCTTGGTTAACTTACTCCAGCAAACTGTAGTTACAACAGTTATTGACATTAGATGTAACCCAAATCGAGTAAGAGTTTATCCAGTGATTGAGGGTGGAACAAACCATTGAGTTTAGAAGACACCTACAACTATGAAGCAGAAGTGATCAACTGTTTGAACTTGCCGACACACGTGAAATCAACGTAGAGCCTTGCACACAAAAGTACATTGGCTCAAATTACCACACTTCATAATAGTACACGAAGAACAGGTGGATAGACAAAGACTGATATCAAAGTAGATAGAGTTGTGTGAGAGAATAAACAATCTGAAGATGAAGGTTAGTGTAGATATCCAAGCTTTACAAGATGTTAAAAAGCTAATACATCTGCACCGTTACGACTGATTTTCATCCATGTCACCAAGATTCCTCAACCACTGATTCTTTTTGTCTCCGAGACCCTAATCAAGGGGTCTTCATCGCCCAACACGGCTCAAATTAACAGTCAGGGACTTCATCGACTGTTGCCAGGTCTTGGTCTGGTCACCCTCAATCCTCTTCCAACCTAATCCAACTCCAATAACCAGGCACATCGTGTTAAGTGACCGTGGCTCTGCATGCGCAGTTACATGTCCAGGCCACCTCAGTCGATTGACTTGCCAGCGTAACTCATTGTGAGAAGACTGTAACTGTCTGAAACCATATTCAAGGTAGTCTGGTCAGAAAACAAATTATGTAGCTGGCAAAATATTTCAAGGAGAGGTTCGACTGCTTTTCAGCTATCCTTCAGTTTTCATTCATTCAATCATGTTTATCTGGTTCAAATATCCTTGAAGAAATTGATCTGAAGCTGAAACTTTAAAATGCCACTAAAATCATCTAACTTAGGTACAAATATCTTCAATCATCTCCGGAACTGAATCCATACCAATAGTTAGACCTACCGAAATGATGTTGGTGAATGCATCACAAATGTAATCTCTTGAAATTGGCGTTGGTTGTTAGTTAATAATACCATTTTGTAAGAAAGAAAAACAAGTTCTTGTGGTGCGAATTTAGAACGTTTTGAATGTAACCGATAGTAGTTATTTAGTGCCTCAAAGATGACTTCGAAGCGGCTGGTCTTGAGTTTGAACCCCACCTCATTCTACCTGGATCTAGACTATCTAGTAGGGCCTTAAGCCTTCACAGTATGTGGCATATTGCCTAGTATATAAACCCTGATATCGGGTTAGGCTACATTTTTTTCATTTATTGATAGACAGTGATCAATTTGTGTGAGACCTTGCATAATGGGATCTGACCAAGTTACCACATCATAGAATAGCAAACGGCGAGGAAATCAACAGAAATAATAAGATGTACTAATAACTGTTACAACCTTGTCTAGTTGTAATTTTCAACTTTACCTCTAACACTGACTTTGCGCGTGAATACTTCCGCAAATATACACAATTCTACCCAGGTGGGAGTTACCAATAAAAAAGAAGAAAAGTTGAATCTTTATGCTGTCTGGAGGAATCATCACCATCAAACTTACACATGACTTTCTATTCGTTTCCCTCCTCCTTTATGAAACAACATGATGGTCTTAAATCAGCTGGTCGTTTCATAACATGTCTTGTGATACTGTTATTACCAATATTACTGAGATGTTATAATTATTTCGTCTAAAAATATTGTACAAGGAGAACATTTGAAATGCTGTACTGTACTATACTGTATCAGATACTTTGTTTGGGATAAAGAGATTGTTAGTATTATTAAAAATAAGATGACTGATTCCATACATAGAAAATGAAATGATGAACCGTAATTATTTTAGCTGTGCTTTCAACTATTTTGCAGCCATCAACCGTGTGGAATTGGGTGAGGAGTCAATAAGAAGCTCTTGAGCTAATGACATTAAGTTAGTGGAAGGAAAAAAGATAAGATTCGAAGTTCTTATTTTTCTTTCTTCTTTCCGTTAGAACAGTGTAAGATGACCTGACTGATAGTTGGTTCCTTGACGTTGTGGTCGGTATGTCACGGTAACCTAACGAGCAACAGTTGTTGGAACACCAGTTACCTCGAGGTCCTACCATGCAAGGAATGCCTGTTGGATAGTAGTAAGATGAAAAGTAGTTACCGTTGTAGTGTAAATTGCCACGCTATAATAGGGCTCAGGGCGAAGTTGTACTGCTGCTAGCTGAATGGGGTGTGACAGCACAAATCTTTTTCTCTTTCAATTGCCTTAAGGAGAGATAACCTTCCATGTTGTGGACAACCGAGAAGTATCAACCGTCCTCATGCCTCCAGTACTACACAAGACCCAGTCAAAAATAACCTATCCTCTTCAATTCTTTCTCCTCCTTTACCTTCACTTCCTAATACTAATATTATCAGGCCCCTTACGTCCTACCTAACCTCCCGCTCTGCAACCCTTGCCAACGATCAAAGCCATCAAAACCTCATTCGTAGTATCCATCGATTTCATGTAGGAGCTTTCAACGTCCGAACTCTATGTCAAATCGAACAGCAAGCATCGCTGTCCAGAACTCAAGAATCTCTAGCCATGGATGTATGCTGTGTCTCTGAGGCACGTTAACAGGATCTGGCCGTAGTAGTGAATCTTCAAAATTCACCTTACGAGTATCCAGCGACCCAGTGACGACTAGGTCTCGTGGACTCGCTGCTGTGGCCATAGCATTGAGTTTTACGGAACACAGAAAATACGCATATTCAGACGAAACTCAACAACACCTAACGAGGACTTTTAGTCTCACCCGTTTAAATCGGCTATCACTGGCTTCATGTCTGGCTTTTCTTCAACCATAGATTAGTGTATTCAGTTGTAATTTTCTCCGTATAGATTATACTTCTTAGTTGTCCGTTACTAACTTTTACGCATTCATATGATATTCATTAATCGACTCTTTCTGAAACTTAATAACGTAATTCTAGCTAGTATTCAGCAATCTTGTTGATACTGACTGGTCATTGAAAACCTAGACCATGGCAGGATTCGAACAAGCGGCCTCCGAATTAGTGATAATTTCAAAATGAAATTTCATACTACTTACTTCCAAAATGAATATGTTTTCGTCCCATTATTTCTACTTTGAATAAGTTGGATTTTAATTATCAACTAAATTATTTTCTTCTATTTCTGCTTCTAGCTTACCTGGAATCATGCTGGCTATGACTGGGAGATCAGTCGCATGAATCAATCATTGACTTCATTACTGTTATCCTCTATAACAATCAAGTCAGCCCATAATCATTTGTCTACTACATCAATGAATAATAATGATTCAGCATTGTGTTATGCTCTGGCGTTGACTGTTTTACAAAATCCTTTTGAAGGTAAAAAAAACTTTTCGTCAATTTATATGCTCTTTTGAGATTTCATGTGGCTCTCGCATTCCATATATGGAGGTTTTATGACCATTCCTATGTCTGTAGGTGTTTGTGATGTGTATTGACTAATCTTAGCGTTGTTTCTGGTTGCTTTAATCGTGAATTTTCTATGTTCGTTCGTGGCAACAATATTATCACCAACTTCAGTATGAAGAGTGAATTATCATAACTTCTCCGTAAGTGACCCAGTCGTCTGTCGTGACAAAGGGGTGTTTAATTCGTATAGTTGCCTTTGACTGTTTTGTTATTAAATGCACGAAATTTCCGGCTGATCACTTCTGTCTGACCTCAGGCCTCGTAGTTCCTTATTACACTCATTGGTTAGTAGATAATATGTACGTCTGTACATCTGAGCTGCAAATATTCTCCGTCATTTCACTATCCAACTTAGTTTTCATCACAAACTAACATGATTTGTAGAATCAGTAAGAGCTCCATTGGGCATACCTATTAAACTACCTGGTGCATGTTGTTTACGCCAGTTTCTGAAATCCACTGAGCAACCAAGTTCGCTTTCATACAGTAGGCGATGAGTCACACCTGTCTTGTAACAAATAATGCTACTAAGCTACGTACCTACAAATAATGCAGATAAAGAGAAAAAGGAGGAATCCTACAGACAACTGCAATCAACACTGGACAAGACGTCAGTCGGCGATATCAAAATTCTAATGGGCGACATGAATGCCAAACTGGGAGCAGACAACACAGGAAGAGAGCTAACCATGGGTCGAGAAGCGCTCGGTGAGGTAATGAACGAGAATGGAGAATTGTTTGCAGAATTCTGTGCATTCAACGATTTGGTGATTGGAGTCAGGCAGTGTGTTCAAGCACAAGAATATCCACAACGTGATATGGATTTCACTAGACACCAGGATACACCAAAAATCAGATCGACTTTATCTTAATCTGAAGAAAGTGGAGACGCAGTCTACTTGACACAAGGTCAAGAAGAGGAGCAGATGTAGGTTCACACCACTCACTATCCAGTGCAAGGAACCTTCCAAATCAAGTGGAAAGCCTTCAAGGAAGCTGGTGACGACAGATCACAGTTCAAGTACAACACTGGGAACAGAAAGTGAAGGACGAAACTACAAATGACATCTTCACGTCAGCCAGCCATCAAGACAAAATGGGAGATATCGAGCAACATCCGTGAAGAAACCTGTGTGGAAGAACACTGGAAGTCTTTGGAAGCCATGTGGAAAGAAACCTGCACAGCCGTATTAGGAAGGAAGAAGAAAGAAGATAAGGAGTGGAATGGATCTCGATGGACACACGGAAGGTGATAGAGCAGGGAGAGGAGGATGGTGAAACAGAAGATAAACCAGTGCAATGATGCTCAACGACAAGAGGAACTGAGTACAATGTATAAAACACTACACTGGACAAAGAAGTGAAGAAGAGTGCGTGTAAAGACAAAAGACACTTCTACGAAACACTGGCAAGTGAAGCAGAACAGACTGCTGGTAGGAGAGATAGAGACCTGACAACATTGTATCAAATAACCAGGTTACTATCTGGGAGGGGATAGATCAACACAGATGAAACCAATGAAAGATGATGAAGGAAATCTAATTACGAAAGAAGAGAAACAAAGGAAACGATGGGCCGACCACTTGAAGAAGTTCTTGAATCGACCACCACCACCACCACCACCTGCACTTCGTCCAGAAATACCACCAGCAGCCCAGCCACAGAACTACAAGTGAACACAAATCCTCCAACAAAAGTCGAAGTCGTGAGCGCCATAAAGCTACTGAAATGTGGGAAAGCAGCAGGACCAGATGGAATCCCTCCAGAAGCACTGAGAACAGACGCAGCGACAACAGTGGACATGCTGACACCTCTATTGCAGAAGGTGTGGAAGGAAGGGAGGGTACCTGCAGATTGGAAGAAAGGCTACCTTGTCAGACTGCCGAAGAAGGGAGACCTGAGTGTTTGCAAGAACTGTCATGGAATCACTCTCCTGTCCACCCGAAGCAAGCGAAATATTAAGCCGCATCATGTTGGAGAGACTAAAGGATGCACTGGATTCATAAGTACTACCGGAACAGACTGGTTGGCTTCAGGAAGTACAAATCATGTGCGGACCAAGTTGCAACGCCTTACTACGCATCATCATGGAACAGAGTATAGAATGGCAGTCAACTCAACCTCAACTTCATCGACTTTGAGAAGGCCTTTGACAGCGTCGACCGAGAGGTAATTTGGCAGGCAGTTGCTTCAACACTACGGAATACCGCAAACTTTTATCAACTTCATTCAACAACTATATGAAGACGCCACATACCAGCCAAGTAATTCACAATGGGAAGCTCAGTGATGCTTTTGAAGTGAAGACAGGAGTGAAACAAGGTTGCCTACTATCCCCCATGATATTCCTGATTGTAGTCGACTGGATCATGCAGCAAACAGTGGGGAGCGAGAAGAGGGGATACGCTAGACTATGGAAAATAACCTAGAAGATTTGGATGTGTAACAACATCCAGATTTTCAACACCAACGTCAAGTCGGTGCTTCTGTATGGTTCAGAGACTTGGCGCGTTACGAAAGGGATTTCCAACAAACTACAGACATTCATCAACAACTGCGTACGCTGGCTGGTTACTGAAGATCAGATGGCCAGAATAATAAGAATAAGCAACAAGGAGCTCTGGGAACGAACCAACCAAGAAGCTATCTCTCAACAAACATGCACTGGAAGGAAGTGGAGATGGATTGGACATACACTGAGAAGGTCGACTGGGGACATCACGCGCCAGGCAGGCCCTCGAAACGACGAGTTGGGCATCTCAGCTGAGGGTGACATGGAAGAGATCGTGCAAGGTGGAAATGAGAGCTTGTGGGCTGTCGTGGAGCCAGGTTGAGAGGATTTCAGAGAACAGAGTTCACCGGAGACGTGCTACTGAAGCCCTATATTCCATTATGAACCCAAGGGACAAATAATAATAATAATAATAATAATAATAATAATAATAATAATAATAATAATAATAATTAAGCTGTCCGAATTTGCGTAGGTGGAGTGCACTTTGAATCTATGAATTGCTTCAACCGTTACGTACAATTACTAGATTATACGTTGATATTGGCTGACTGTTCAATGACAGGATCCAAATCTTTTGTTCTGTATACTGTTCAACTGCAGTTAGCCGATCGCATAAGTTATCGAAGTATGATCTATCGTTTTCTTGGGAATTTAGTTTTTGCGGTGGTCTCACATCATTTAATAATCCGAAGTATTTGCTACCTACCTCTAGTTTTCATTTATCGAGGTATTATCCACTGGTTTGGATAAGAGATTTTCAACCATTGGGTTACTGATCTGAAACCTTTTACATCTACCTAGATTATCACAGCCTTCCTGCAACAAGTATGTCCCATACCCTCTAGTGCATGAACGTGATTGCCGAGAAAATTAGGTTTTTTTTCGAAATTTTCATATTTTTCTAATTGGTGTACAATAGAATAACACATCAAAGTGTATGTGGACTTAATTATGTTCACTGTTTGAGTACAACTGAGATACGCTTGAGCCACAAAGTAACATTTTTTCTAGAAGTAGGATTTTACGAACCATTAGTTTTAATAATTTTATAAAATTTCATAGAACATGGATTTGGTTTATCGATTATAAACCTTAACTTCGGTATGTGATATCTGCAGACGTGGAACTGTAATAGGCTCTTGGAAACAAGAAAACCACCCTGAGATATCAGACTGGGCTATTCGTATGACATCACTCGGAGCTTATTACAAAAATCTATTGATGCAGTTTATGAAACATGTAGATATATACGTTGACTACCAATGCTTTCCATATTTCTACCCATCTCATCAGCTGATTTATTGACTATAACTGTTCAGAAAGTCATAAATTACTTTACTTACCGCATGCTGAATTCTGTTATTGGATTTTTCTATTACTTTTTTGTGTATGATTGGGTTTGCTTTTATTCAGTGGCTGTGGTTTTTGTTGTTGCCGGAAAGTTGTTTTGTTTCTCCTTAAAGGTGATGGCAATACTACAAGACATCCACCGAATAATTTTATTGTGCATCAAGCAGCTGAAGTGAAAAAGCGTGAATTCTACGCCTTTTCATACTATTTTGATTTGGCCGTCAGTGCTGGTTTAATTGATGAAGATATTGGTGGATTTGTAACAGCAAAAGATTTTCAGTATGCTGCTGAACAGAGTGAGCTACTTTTTTTTCGAATGTTTTGTACATCAGTTATGCACAGGTGTAACCAACTGTTTGCTCAGTTATTCCATGCATCTCTATGTCGTTATTACTCCTATTAAATATTCTGTCTTCTCGTTATCATTTCCACAATTATCTTTTTATACATGTTTGTCTAACTCAGCAGTCTGTATCGTCTACAGTCGTCAAACAGTTTTTTTCAGAAAAATATCCTTCAATGTGATGTTCGATCCAAGTATTAGGAAATTGCGTGGATCGTTTAAGCTGACCACCTTCAAAATCCCAACCTTCCTGCAGTTCAGACAAAAAAATCGTTTAGTTAGGTCTTTGGAAAACCTCGCTATTGGTGTGTGCTGTATCTCAGAGATTCACATACAAGATTCTGGTGAAGTGCTTCAAATGAATTCCGCATCTATCAGCTCAAGAAGTGTATTCACAGTGCACTTTTCCGCAAAACCGTGTACGATAAACAGCTGACTTTGTTGGTGCTCCAAGTGCTAGAGTCAAAGCTGCACAAGTCGACTACATCCTCATCAACAGTCATCTGTGTGCTGCTAGGCTGGAGGATCCGATTGGAGTGAGATATAACTGAAAGGGGAAATGGTTTCTCTCTGTCATCCCTGCTTAAACTCCGACTGATTTCAGCATGGACTCATTCAAGGGTGAGTCCTACCATCAAGTTTGTGACTTTCTCTACCAGATGATCTCGGGAGATATGGTGCTAGCGGAAGAATTAGAATCCATAGATTGTCTGTTTCTGTTAGTCCGTAGGGTTTAGTCGGTTGCCAGTCATATAACAGAGAAAGTCTTTTGCAGCTTTGCACAGAACTTAACCTGTTTCTAGGCAGCACTTTAATGTCATTCTTCTTCTCTGAGTGTTACTGTGATTCGTTGTAACATGAACTGATGTTCTTCTGTGCTAGGTTCTATGCCGATTTGTTTGTCTATCCTAAGATGTTAGGAGTTGATATACCTTGTTCAGTACTGTGCAGGTATGACATGAGAGCTACATTGTTCACCATCCAATGACCTATCCATCCACATAACGGGATATTTAATACAGCGTACAAGTGTCTCGCACTTATTTGATGAGTTAGTTTCGTTAATGGCAGTTTTCCTGGCTTTATGGCTGTGCTAGGCATTTACTGAAATGGAATTACTCAATGTAAAAAACTGTTACAACAATCTTAGATCCCTTGATGATTATTTCTTTAGTTCAATATAAACAGGACTATCATCGATAGAAATACTTTAAGGACACTAAATATTGCTGATATATATTATATTGAACACAGCAAATTCTGAGTAGGTTCTACTTTTATTCTAATTATTGATTGTTTCAATTCAATAGTCATGTGTGGAAAGGGATTAAGGTTGTGCGTATTATTTTCTTAGCATAATTTCATGAAGTATGCAGGTTATAATGTGATGATTTTTTGTGTTAGATGGTCTAGTTGCTAACGTTTCGGAATCAAACTAAAAGACTATTCCTCTTTAAAATTTTGACTTGAATTTATCTGATAAGTTTTTTTTCAAAGTTTTATTTACCTTTATAGAATCACTGTGTAAGCAATATCGAAGTCAGGCGAAGTGTACTAGAAAAGACGGGCAAGTCGATTAATGAAGGTTGTGAACCTTAGTCGACTGAGACGGCTTGGGTATGTACTGCACATACCGAGCCACCAACGCCTACCTTGATGTATAATGCTGAGGGAAATTGGATTAGGTTGAAAGAGGATTGAGGGTGACCAGACCAAGACCTGGCAACAGTCGATGAAGTCCCTGACTGTTAATTTGAGCCGTGTTGGGCGATGAAGACCCCCTGATTAGGGTCTCGGAGACAAAAAGAATCAGTGGTTGAGGAATCTTGGTGACATGGATGAAAATCAGTCGTAACGGTGCAGATGTATTAGCTTTTTAACATCTTGTAAAGCTTGGATATCTACACTAACCTTCATCTTCAGATTGTTTATTCTCTCACACAACTCTATCTACTTTGATATCAGTCTTTTTCTGTTCACCTGTTTGCGAGGTTCTGTGTTGATTATACCAGTCAGTCAGTCATGAATTCAGGAAAGAAGAGATAATCCAGGAGAAAATATTTTCCTTTTCGATGATATCATTTTCTTAAGCTGTACAATCGTATTTACACGTATCACAAATATAGTGGTCTGTTATTGAACAATAGGGTATAGTTGCATGATTAAGCCAGCTAGTAATGACAATGATGAGTGTTAAAAGCTGAAATCAGTAGTCGAAAGGGGTTGTGTTATAATCTTTTAGATAATAGGAATAATGAGAAAGGCAAGGAGTTTGACCAGGTGAAAATGCTGGTTGATGTGAAATACGGTGACTTGTGTCCACTTGATTGACCTTGTACCAGGAGACTCCTTAGTAGATGTGCAACACGCAGTGACATGGTCCTGTTAGTTGAAGACTCTGACAAGAAACAGAGTCTTCTGAACACTTCGATAGGCAATTTGAGAATGGTTGAGATGCGTTTCTTGTCACCCCATGGTAAATTGTTGTTCCAGAACTGGTTTTTGCTGGTTCATTGTCTAACCACAGGGAGTGAAATGGTTCACTTATCTAGAAAGTTGGATCAGCCCTGATGGGTCTGTGACTAGTGAAATCTCTTCACGCATAGAATAGACTCTTTTAACTTTTGCGAACGTACACAATTTATAACGCTTCCGTGATATCCTATTGATTGCATATTAAGGGCTGAGTGTACCACACTTCAGTTCGGCATGTTGTGTTTTATGTTTGCGAGATGTGGTTATTAAAAATGGTTGACACGAGGAGACTTCAGCTCAGCCACTACTGCCTTTGTAACATAGACCGTGTGTCGTGGTACCATCAGTAATACGGAAGTCAGATCTGAAGTTGTAGGGAGCAGAGGAAAGTCAGTTGATGAAATTGTCAGTTTTCATCGATTCGTGACTGGAACATGTGTTGCGTTTACCTAATCACTATCGATGTACAGTGTTGGCTGTATGTTAATCAACTATAAATATATGTTTACTGAATATATTGTTCTTGATAAGGCAAAATGTGTGGTGGTGGTGTTATCCCTGGGAGGTTTAAGTAAGTAATTTATTACTTTTGAAATCTTTCACTTGTATCTTATGGTTCATTAAGTTGGTACTTTGATACAGAGATTGATACGGAAGTGGAATCTAACTTTTTGTGCTTTACCACCAGCCTACGATCTATTCTTACATTGCTTTGTGGAATATACGTTTACTCACTATTTAATAAGAAAAATCTATCTATGCAGCGATAAGCAAGTCAATTAAGTGTTTCCTGTGGGATAGAATTTTCAGGTCTATGTCTTTCTGGTGTGTAAAGATCCGGTCAAAATTAATGACTTGCTGGAAAATATCTCTCTCGAAATTTCAATGCAAAGTCATAACATATGGACTCAGCTAAATCGACTATTAGTATGGTTGCCCACCGATGGTAATAGTGGATGATGGTCGCACGAATTAACAGAGGTAAAAATGTGTGAACTTTTGGTTTTGGGTTACATAGCTAATTGGTAGCGTGCTTTCCACCATACCTATCACTTCTGATCTTTGTCTGGCAAGGAGTCCCTCCAAAGAGTCCTGAACTACAACAAAAGACCCGTTCAAAAACTGCCTTGAAATAATTTCTCTGCTCATGTACAGTTGCTTTTTTGTATAAATAATTAAACCGGCCACTACCAATACTTCATGGAACGATAATTGCAGTTGTATGCCAAATATACCAACTGAAAATCGTGTTTTTCATTCATAAATCCTGTTGAATATTCGATTCCAATTCAAACCTATTCAAAATGATATACAGTTGGCCACAATACAGTTTGTCTCTCACTGTTTGGGCATTCAATTTCTCGGAGTTGTCTTTTAGTCATTGACAATGGACCTTCTCTAGGTATTTCGTCATTAGTGTTCGTCACACTTTCTACATCAGTAAGTTTGAGTTACAAGCTATTATTTACTCACCTCATCGATATTGAGTAGTAAACAGTTTCATTTAATGGTTAATCTGCCATATTCACCGGTTTTTACTCTCGTTTCTTCTGCCAACATTTATAGCTTGTCGTAATCCCAGTCCTGAAAAACCTTTTGACTGTATGGATCTTAATTTTATCGCTGCCTTGTTAAGTGATGGTTATGGATTTCCGTTGGATAAAAAGATCGGAGTAAGTTGTTTATTCTAGCATATATATATATATATATATATATATATATATATATATATATATATATATATATATATATATATAAATATATATAGCGATATTTTGAAGTTAAACAAATATATGTCGACGCAAAAAATGATTGTATAGATCATATTTCAATGCGACTGTGAAATTTCAAGTAAATAAGAATGAATGCACACTTATTATAGCAGTACACATTTGTGTTGCATAAGAGAATTCCTGTTAACAAAGATTGTATCTCATAGGATTCCATTCCCTATTAGCTACGTCTTTTGAGTTCAATCATAGAAAGCACTTACTAATTAGACCGACATCATTAGTATCTGGTCTGCAATAGTTGTTTATTCTCTGGTGTTAACTTGAATTCAACATACTTGAAAAAGACATCAGTTAGTCAATACCGACATGCAACGTGGCTCTACTGTGTATACTGGTTGAAGCTGTTATGCCCCACATCAAGATAGTAAACAACAAAACAGGGCAAATGAATAGTATTATCAAAAGTCTTATAAATCCATAAGAAAAAAGTAATAGATGTTTAAAAAAAATAACGAAATATGATTGAACGACTAAAATGAAGATGCTTGAGCTGATCTACGCAATCACTATCGATTCTGAGCTACATCATCACCTAGAGTCGCCAACCATCGATTCCGGTTGTCATACATATTCCAGTCTGTAGGTTTGCTTTTCTCTAGATAACTCAAGCTGATCGTCAGAAATCTCTTGAACTAAAGTATTTAGAAGTCAGAAAACCATTCAGCAATTCTCCTCATCAACAAAATGGCAAGATATTTTCAAATCTATCGGAAATAGGCATTCTTATTATTGATGTTATACTTATGTAAAGCCCATAATGAGCAGTGAAACTGGTTATCTATTAGTTTGTGTTTATGTACATATGTGTAAGGTTGCTGGTTGTGTTATTATTGTCTCTAACATATAACCAAGTCGTACGTAAGTCGATGTAACCGTAACCAGTATCTTTCCTAACATACCAATCCTGATAACGAATGACTCAATTAATTTGAGATACTCTTGACATAGGTAAAATTAGTAACCTATTTAGCTAGAAATGGATGAGCTTGGGATCGTGTACATGTCACCTAGCGTAGTAAAAGCATAGAAATGAAGGTTGAACCTAATGGAAGGCATATTCGTCTAGATAAACCTTGAGGATATAGAGGCGATCTTATGGTTTATTTAGCTAATGTCTAATTATTTTTAATAATAATGTTTGCTTTACGCTTAAATTGTTTCGGTGTCAGGATGGTGTACTTTACATATGTATGACCTCAAATGTTTAAATCTATTTAAAACGTTTGTCTCTAATCTTGCATCACTGTGTTAAAGATTGTTTTTCTCACATGACTGAGGTATTCAAATTATTTTTGGATAATTTACAAGCTGAACAACTGATGTTCACACTGACTAAACGACTGAGTATAGGTTGATTCAATTCATTAATTTGCGGTGTTAACGGTAATTGTGTTTGAAAAATAACCCAGTTACACTAAGCTTTCATGAACTTTGTGTGAAAGTTATTTCATAACTTGAATAGATGAACATATTGCTCATCCTGTGATATACAGATTGCATTAAACCGGATTTATTTGTCTCTTTCAATTGAGTTGGTCATGGATTTGTTTCTTCAATGGCGTTAGTCCTCGTTGAGTAAAACAGTCTCAACCCCTCCAGTTGTCACTTTTTGCATTCGTCACTCTATTTCCAACTTGATTGTGATAGATTTCGATGAGTGCTGGAGCACCTGTTCCAGATATATGAAACTTTATTATCCACGTCAAAAGTGAGGAGAGAAAATCAGAACTGTATTAGTCATGTCTCAAAGTTCTGTAGTTACCTCGATATGAATGTGGACAACTAATTATGTCCCATGCGTTATCCAGTCAATAATACTATTTCACTGTTATGATAAAATTTAATCAAAAAACTTATATGGAATTAAACGATATCACAGTGCACAAGTTTTACTCTTTTATTAAGCAGGCTTAGGGTAAGTGAGTGTCTAGTACTGAATGGATGTGCCGAGTGTTGAAATCAAGATATCGGTTCGAATATGTTGGTTTGCAGTGGATGGATAAACTTAGGTTTCCATTTACTTTTGTCCCTTTAAGTCAACAATCTAAAATGATAGCTCACCACTTTCATTAACATATTCACATGTGAAGAATAAGTATTTATTAGTTTCGAAAATGTTCTCAAGGATGTTATCTTTTTAACATTAGAAATATGTCATCCACCTATTCCAACCAAATATATAGTTTTGAAGAAACTGTTAAAAATCATAGATTCAGTATACGATACGAAGAGATTTGTAACGGTAGGGGACTCATGAGAAGTCATCGCTGCTACATTTGTCTCTTCCATTTTGATTTTTTACATATATCAACTAGTGAAAGAGTATTATTCACTGGAAAAGATTTTGGACACAGTTTATCGCTGATAGTCATATCAAGGTAACTCCACAACTTTGGAACATGGCAGGCATAATTCTAATTCTCTCACCTTTTTTATGATGTAGGTAGTAAGATTTTCCATACATCCGGAACAGGCTCTGAGTCATTCTTGCTGTATGCTTTTAGTGTTGATTAGATTAATAATGACTCAGTTATCAATCCCTCCCTCCACTCCGCTAGATTAGTTTAAGGATTGTCACTCGGTCGCATCCTGTTGTGTGCTTATACGTATTAGCATTCATGGCTATAGCTATTACCAGGCTTTTCTCTAGGATCTACCAATTTTGATTGAGCTGGAATTTTGTGCTGGGATAGCCTAATTAACCCTGGGTTTTTATTATTATTTCGACGTATGCATTTGACCCCGTAATCGTCATCTTTACACCCAGGGACCAATCTACAACCTCATACAACTTTCACGGATAGAAGCCAGATTCATAAACCAACGTATAATGTTATAATCAATATTCGATGTCTTAAAAATCGAATCACTCAGAAATATCTACGTTTACGTATTCTAATACCAACGGGTAATGTGAAAGCAGCAATACAACGTATCAGTAAGCTCTGCATAAAAGAAGGGATTCATAAAATAGTCAAGAAGTTACACAGCATCCACGGTTATATTAATGAACTAAAACGTGAATTGATGCGTACAGTTGGTGAAAAAAGACTATAAACTCCTGATCGAGAACTTCAACAAAGCGAGATCAGCTGCATTAAAAAGTTCAAGATTCCTCAAGTAAAGAAGTTCAATAAACAAGTGGAAAAAAAGCATCTAGTGGAAAAGAATGAGATAATCCACAGCACATCGCCAGTCATCGGCATCACAAAACGGGTTTTTAATCTCTCAAATCGAATAGCTCAAAAGAATTAAAGGTGCAGGAAAAGAGGTTTGACTTCAGTGTAGCAGTTAGTGAGTTGAAACCTGACAATGGTATTTCCAGATTGAGATACCGTTAAAGTTTATTAGAAAGAACAGTTGTAGATGTGTCTCAAGCACAATACGAAAACCGTGTTCGAAAGAAGACAGCATCAGAGAAAAAAACTGTAGGGAGTATAATGTAACCACGGGATCGGGAAAACAAAATCGTAGCAGAACATTAAAATAATGAACAAAATACGATTTTAACGGAACTGAGCAGCTAAAGATGGAAGTGAATCAGCTTTGTTATTAAACATAAATTACACTACTCATTACTAGTAAATAGCATAAAGTTGAACGCACAATAAATGGCAAATTAAAGCGAACGAGAACTAACAATGTATGTTGTACGATCTTATCACTGGGTTTTAATTGTCACTTTTCTACTTCAGTTTTTCAGGAAGGTCAAATCTTTTGAAATCAACTGGAGTCTTGGTGCCTTATTCTCAGAAATGTATAATAACTCAACAATTTAAACTTTACTCATCATACGAAATCTTTCTTTTGCTCAGTGAATTTCATCATATTGATTGATGTCTTGTTCCTACTTCCTGTCATTTAATTTCTGAGTTCATTTTTTTTTACATATTTCCAACAACAAAAAAACATTTTAGCCGTATCACTATATTTTTCGGTTCATTTTTAGTCTATTCATCCAGATGTATGATGTTGTCGCATTGCCTTATTTGATTCTGTACTGAATTCTTTGTGTATCCATTGATAACTGCATGTAAGATGTATTTTCATTATTCTGTTTATATGTATTAGATGTTTATTTATACTTGATTTTAAAATCTGCGCATAGACCTGAGAATCCACATTATGTGTGTACTCGTTGTAATGTTTAGGTTTGGCTAGTTAGCATTCATATCTGGTCTTTGGATTTTTTTAAACAGATATATTGTAGATCCATTCTGCTATTCATCCAAATGTCACAGTTTTTGAATAATACACGATTAAAATTTCTTGTGAATTGTCTTCCAGTTTTGAAGTATGGAACAGGTTATTTTACTTAGTTGTACAACTATCCTGTTACTTTGTTCAAGGGAAGTACATAAAATCTTGTGCTTTGAAGATACTTACTATGCATGACCGTATACTTGATTACTGAGGCGTGTATACATCCACTCAATTCGATCGCTTTACGTTTGCTAATGTGGCTAGGAATGGGTTAATGATTACCGTTTATGCTTTCTTTCTTTGACTGCGTTAATTGCTGACTTGTAATACCAGTGTAAAATAATTTCATCCACACAACTTAGTCAAACCATTTAAGTGTTCTCTACCTACATCAGTTCACGATTGAAACAGTGTTCACGATATTTAGAGCAAGCATTAAGTGTGGGTTTGTGAGAGGATTACAATGAAATCCTGAACATATTATAATAAAAGATGTTTCTTTTGACTGTCAGAACTGGGAGCCATTAATCGATATATGGTGAGTTTATCGTTTGTGAAGCGCTAATCATTTGGACAAAAATCTCAGCACTGACTTGTATGCGTTTGACATTCGAAACTTGGGTAAAACATTTTAGACCTGTTCATAAAAAATCAACTCCAGCAATTTGTGTTTCTATTATGCGAAGAGGTATATTGACCCAAACGAAGCCATTCCTGCAATTGAACTGATGATTATTGCGACTGCTTGAAGTCACTGTGGATCGTCGTACTCGATTAAAATTGTTACAAGGCGAACGTCGGTGATCGTTTGTTCGTTAGTATTTAATACTCGTTATCGAAAGTGATTCATGTATTCTTTATTGACTTGTCTGTATTCTAGTGCTGTTATATTCCGATGATTCGCTGAATGTCTAATACAAACTGTGACGCGTATTCTCTAAGATCCACCAAAGCACCTCACCTACTAATTTTTTCGAAGGGAGAGGATTTTCGTCCAAGCAAAATTGGATTTCTTGCAAATTCGGACGCGTTTATGTGATACCTACTTAAAAATATGATCCAGGTTGCATTATCTCATTACATCAGATACTCAGTGGTTTTCGCTTGTAGTTTGCATGCTAATAAATAATCTGTACTGGTATTCAACGATTTCCAGTCAAAGTAAGAGGTCACTTATCCGGTGCTTATATTTTTGACTTGCATATTCAATGTATTGAATGTTAGCAGTAGAGTAAAGCAAATAACTACGTCATCAAGTAGTTACAATTTAGTCAGTGATTGAGTGCTGCTCAAAGTATCTACTAAACCACTATCCTAATTTTACAATCATTTGAATAACTACTAAGATGACACAAACGAGTTAGTAAACTTCTATTTCAGTAACCTATGGAACTACACATAGTAGTTCTGTTAAAGAACCGGGCATAACTCGGAAGGTCTTGTAGACAAACAGTTTAGAAATGTACGACAATGTGAGCGGTGACATGGCAAAACTGTTAGCAGTTGTAGGGTCGGAATCCACGTCTAGAACAAGTGAAGGAAAAAGAAGATGGAACCATTATCCTTTTTCAAGTTTCCGTGAAGTAATAGTCAACGAAACAGTTTACTGGCTGATGTTTACAGACACTTATCCCCTAGTTACTAAACTTATCCATGTGGTTATATCCGCATATTTTGATGACTTCTCATAAACTGAAGCATACTTCCATATTTCTAATGGGTGATCACTTCAGCAGAAATTTTGTTCATCGATACTTCCATAGAGCGAAGAATAACAAACTTAAGCAGTATTGCGCAAACTTTAAGTTCCATATGCGGAATAAATATGAGTGTTGTCTCTATTTTGATGAAAATGATGTGTTTCCGAGTTATATTCCAATTTATTTCAATAATCCCCAGACATTAATTCTGATTGTCTTCCAACTCGAAATTAGGAATTATTTATTCTCCACAAAGTAACAACTGGGTACTTACTGAACTCTCGCCAACTTGGTCTAACCACACATTATCTTTGTAAGACCCATGCCAAGTCAATCCTGGGGTATTTTTCAGAATACGAACAAACAAACGTGGTTTTTGGAAGGAGTGAGAATATTTGTATATCATGAGGAGTATTGTGATGTGGGTTACCTGAATTGGGTCGTTTGACTGTCAAGCTTTCACTGTCATTCGAAACAATATCCTTAACACAAACTTCAGGAACATTATACCCATGGTGACAATGAAAACCTTACTATTAAACCATCTAACTTTGAAAACACAATACCACTAAGAAATTATGGGTTTGTCAAAAGAAACATGGCAGGCAGCTGTTACCATGACGTGGTAGTTGGGCCTACATGTTAAAATAACGCAAAGGGCTATACTGGTTAAAACAACTTTCCTTTCAGTTGGTACAATGCCAAAAAGATCTACTGAATTCTGCTAAGGTTCACAGAGTTAGCCATCATATAAATAAGTGGGGGTTAAGGGCTAATTTAAACCGCTGGGTATATGAGGTCTGACAGCCATTAGATATTTCCAGTGGGTGACCAATATCCCGTGATGTTGCTGTCTTTCTCTGCCGGAAGGAGCATTTAAAAATAACTGCATTTAGAATAGCATGTTCTCTGACCTGCAGTATTCCAGCTCGGGTGGTATGGATCTTTCTGTTCTGGAATCAAATCTTGTGCTGTGTGTCTTTTTCTTTGCCGGAGGTTGTTTGCGTCTATCAGTTAGGATAAGATTTTTAACATTGTGGTCAAACAGAGGTGATATCTGCTTGGACTCTCCTTGTTCACATTTAAGATTATTTTGACCTGTTACCGTTTTTACTGTACTCAGTGTACTTCCATGCCTCATCCACAGATAAATCCTGCTACTCCATGAAAGTGATGTTGATTCTCATGGCATACAACTGAGTACGGACATGATCGCAAACAGTGATGCCGGTGCTTAGCTAAACTGATAATGAAAGGGGAATGATGAAGTGGGATATGTGATCCGCCCCGTGCCTAGCATCAGTATGATTAAGGCTCTTCACAGAAGCCGAAACGCGTGGTACTGGGGGTTGTTGTATCTTAGCATGCCCCCAAACAAGCCTGTTATAGAATGCGACACTGGATTCTTAGCTTATATTTCAACCAGGTATCCTGAAGTCACCCACCGTAAGCTAACTATTGCCCCCACTCCAGTAGTCACTATTCACCAATATCATTCCACTATTCTGCAAAAATGTATTATGATGGCAAAAGTTTTATGATTTCATAAAGTCAGTTTGCGGTAACTGGAATGGTCATCTGACACTACCAACCTTTTGAGTGTCACACTCCGTAAAATTAGCGAACACTCGACTGATGCTGTCAGCTATCGGTAGTAAACAGTGCCTTACGAAGATACGTTAGAGCCACACTTCATGAAGACGGACAGAAATCCGAACAGTCACTTAAGTGTAGTAACCGTAACAGGTGGAAAAGGTGAGTTACCTACCTCCCACGCCCATACTTCTATATTTATGCTTGGCTTCTGATACTGTGCAACTTCCTGCTGTTTACACCAGGTTTGTTTTAACAGTCTCTGAGCGTTATTTCACCTAGCCCAGGATCGTGGCTTTAGGACACTACTCTGATTGACCTTTGACAGAAGTTTTACTGCTTGGCTTTATTTTCGCAGATTTCATTTCGAAACCCTTTTATCGGGATATTTCTGTTCATCTTGAAGTTCTTCGCGTTTGTATTTTATTTATCATATGGGCTTCATAATAATTTGTTTGTTCATGCCACTCTCTCTACATCAAGGTAACCATTAACTGTGTGCTAGCTTGTTAGGCTGCTGAGATTTCGATTCCATCACACTGAAGGAAATGAGAGGACAGAGACGAAGAAAGAAATATTTATTATTAATATGTAGTACGGTAGTCGTTAAATGTGGCACACCTTGCACTAAGACAGTCATTTGCAAAATGTGCTTCGTTTTGTAGTGCACCTTCCTGCCACCAAAACACAACTACAGCATAGATAAATAAATAAAGTTAACTAAATAAACAAACCTCCAGCTCGCCTCCGGATGCTTTGGGCGCTTTAAGTCTTGTTTTAACGGGCATGCATCCAAGCCATTTGTGCCAGTTAGCACGCACGTACTTAGGGTCCCTAGTTCAGCCATACCAGTCAGATAAGTTGAAAAAACTTTCCCCCCATGCACTACTGTCACATTTATTCTAAGTAAATATATTACTCCGAATATACTCCTGAAGCCAGTTCTTTTGATTTGTGTTTCGTTATCAGTACTTACACGTTAGATAAGGTGCTGGTTGAGCAGGTGCTAGAGCACATCAAGTTAAGTAAGGTTGGTCAAACGTTAAGGAATAGTGGTACACACCCTTACAGTTTCCTCTTCTGGTTCTCCCTTTATTTGCTCTTCGGACACCCACGTTGTCTCTTGCGTTCCTGATCAGAATCCTTACCCATTGCTGGTAATTCCCTGTGATTTCTGCCGTCCTTCCAACATATACTACTTACGTCCATTCTTATCAGTAACCCCCACCACAATATTACCTGCCACAAATTACTAGTAACGAGAACAACAGCATTTCTTGTGGTCCTGATATCTTTGTAATATAATTTGGATTGCACCTTACTACTAAAAGTGTAGACCTTTCGACCAAAGTTCCAGTTTTCAGCTCGTGAAATATAGAACTTTCTTGAACTGTAAGATGCATTCAGACCAAAATACCTAGACGATGGCTATCAACACTATGCCTTAGGCACGTTTTTAAATGAGAATCCAAATATACCCAGATTGAGATCTCGCTCTTATTCGCTCACTAAACGCTTAAAGTGCAAAGAAAATATGAAATTACGCCATCACCCTTACGAAGCTTTGCTTTCTGACTAAAAGACGTGATGTATCTGTTTACATAAGCGTTCCATCTGGATCATTTGTTAGCTATATCGTTACTGCGGAACTCAAAGACTAGCAGTGTTTCTGCACCAAAACCCGAAACATGAGCTTTCCCCCTTGTGTATGGAGTTGGGTTCTGCGTTATTCTACAGTTTCTGACTCATGTAATTTGTCCTGCGAGTCCTGGAAACG